GGCACAAATGACTTTCTCTACATGTCCTTACTATTCACAATCCACTCCTGGACCAGAACCCTGGTAGGGACCACTGTGGATGCAACCCCGAACATTCCACTCCCTCCACATTGGCCATATTGGTTCCCCTGGTCCATGTACAGAGCCCAGTTCAGGAAGCCTCCTCTGGAGCAAAGCCATTGACTTACACCTTTGCCTTCTCCACCAATTTCTTTTCCACCAGAGACCAAGCCTCCCCTAGTAACAGATGAAGAGGAAGAAAAGGAAGAGGAAGCTCCACTACATTTCTCATCTTCTTCCCTTGATGAGGCTCTCATGCCTTTGTCTGCTACTGCTGCTGATGATTTCAAGCATTTTCAAGAATTATTTCACAGGATTGCAGACTCCCTCCAGATTCCTTTGGAGGAAGTGCAAGATCAGCAACATAAACTGCTCAATATCCTGCCCACACCCTCCTCCACAATAGCCGTCCCAATTAATGATGCCCTTCTTGATCCCACTAAACTGCTTGGCAGACCCCGACATCCATCCCTCCGACCTGCAAATGGGCAGACAAAAAATATGATGTCCCCACAAAGGATATGGTTATTCGGTTACACAGGTGATGTCTGCAAGTGGGGCTACGTATAATATATGTCCCTCACAGACACAGCCTGCACAAACACTTATCCATGCCCAAGAAGTTCAAGGACTCACTACTGTGGTGGACACAGCCCAAGAATGTCTGTGTAAGGATTCCTTTCCATCAACCAGCACCCGCCGACCATGATTCCAACAACCTTATTCGGTTGGGGAGCACACCTTCACACTCATACAGTGCAGGGCAGATGGTCCTTAGTTGAACCCACCCTACACATCAACCTTCTAGAGCTATGAGCTGTCCTCATTTTCTCTCACTGATCTCACATTGCACCATCAGAGTCATGACGGATTGACAATTCATCTGCATGTTTTATATCAACAGGCAAGGAGGAGTGAAGTCCCACTTTTTTTGGATGCACTGAAATTATGGAACTGGTGTATCCAACACGACATCACCATCTCAGCCACATACGTCCCTGGACACTGGGGAACAACACTGAAGGCTCACTGAACAGGAGATTCTTCCATGCTCATGAGTGGGAACTGGATATGCAAATCCTTCAGTTTATCTTCAACCACTGGGGATTCCTCACCATAGATCTTTTTGCCACACTGCAAAACGCCCACTGCCCTCAATTTGCTCCCAGGTGGGACTGGGACATGGATCTCTGGGAGACACATTCCTCATCACATGGGATGCGCCACTGCTCTATGCCTTCCCTCCCTTTCCCCTTCTGTTTCAAGTGCTCCACAAGAAACAGGAGCACTGAGCCCTTGTCATCCTTATAGCTCGGACATGGCCATGACACATCTGGTATACTTACCTCCTTCACATGATGAGATGCCCTCCGATCTCTTGCCATCTGAGTCCGTGACTCCTTTCACAGGCTGTGGGTTGCATCTTCCATCCCAATCCACAACTGCTCCACCTGAAAGCCTGGCTCCTTCATGATTCTGGGATTCGGAAATAATCTGTTTGGAAGCAGTTAAACAGGTACTCTTGAATAGCAGACGCGACACTACTAGACACACTAACTTCCAAAAATGGACTAGATTCCCATGCTGGTGCGTCTCCCATCATGTCGATGCAACAAGTGCTCCATTACCACCTATCCTGGACTTTATTTTAAACCTTAAACAACTGGGATTATCCACTAGCTCCATCTGTGTGCATTTGGCTGCCATCACAACCGTCACCGCCACATAGACAGCCACTTTGTCTTCACACACCCACTCAAGAAAAGTTTCCTGAAGTGTCTTCAAAATCTTTACCCTCACATACAAGATCCAACCCTGGCCTGGGACCCTGGCCTTGTCTTACGCTCTCTTACTAGGCCTGTGTTTGAAACAATGGCAATGTGCTCCTACTTCACTTATCTATGAAAACAGCATTTCTTGTTGCTATTACCTGTGTCCGATGGACTGGTGAAATTGGAGCACTTATGACATGCCCCCCCGTATACACTTTTTTATAAAGACCAAGTTATGTTATGTCCTCACCCCAAATTTTTTACCCAAGATACCATCTGCTTTCCCTCTTAATCAATCTATCCACCTGACTTGCTTCTTTCCAAAGCCTCATAGCAACCAACAGGAGGCAGCGCTGCACACCATTAGCTTTCTACCTGGACAAAAAGAGAACTGAACCTTTCCGAAAATTGCCACGCTTATTCCTTTTAATGGCCAAAAGATCCAAGGGTGCAGCCATCTCTAAGCAACGCCTTTCCAAGTGGATCTTGCAGTGTATACATCTATCCTATCAACTACACAATTGACAATCTCCTCCTGGAACTAAAGCACATTCCACTTGCCACTTCCATTGCTTTTCTCAATAATGTCCCAACTGCTGACATTTGCAAAGCGGCCACATGGGCATGAGTAGGCACTTTTCCCCATCACTATGCCATCGCTCACACCGCCGCCACAGATACTGTCCTAGGGCATGCTGTCCTATCATCTGCAGGAAATGCTGCTCCAAAGCCCCAGCCTTCCTATTAGGGGCACTGCTTCCTAGTCACCTGCAGTCGAGCACTCAGAGGCCATCATTCGAAGAAGAAAAGAAGGTTACTCACCGTGTGCAGTAATTGAGGTTCTTCTAGATGTGTGTCCCTATGGGTGCTCTAGTACCTGTCCTAGAATCATACAATCATAGAATATCAGGGTTGGAAGGGACCCCTGAAGCTCATCTAGTCCAACCCCCTGCTCGAAGCAGGACCAATTCCCAGTTAAATCATCCCAGCCAGGGCTTTGTCAAGCCTGATCTTAAAAACCTCTAAGGAAGGAGATTCTACCACCTCCCTAGGTAACGCATTCCAGTGTTTCACCACCCTCTTAGTGAAATAGTTTTTCCTAATATCCAATCTAAACCTCCCCCACTGCAACTTGAGACCATTACTCCTCGTTCTGTCATCTGCTACCATTGAGAACAGTCTAGAGCCATCCTCTTTGGAACCCCCTTTCAGGTAGTTGAAAGCAGCTATCAAATCCCCCCTCATTCTTCTCTTCTGCAGGCTAAACAATCCCAGCTCCCTCAGCCTCTCCTCATAAGTCATGTGTTCCAGACCCCTAATCATTTTTGTTGCCCTTCGCTGGACTCTCTCCAATTTATCCACATCCTTCTTGTAGTGTGGGGCCCAAAACTGGACACAGTACTCCAGATGAGGCCTCACCAATGTCGAATAGAGGGGAACGATCACGTCCCTCGATCTGCTCGCTATGCCCCTACTTATACAAGTCCTCCTCCACTGTGCTTCGGAACTGAAACATAAGCTCAGCAGCAGGAAGAAACTGGGTGGGGGTGGGAGGGGCGGTCAGGCTGCCCATCACTAAAAATATATGTCCCGCTCACGACGTGAGATGAGGGAGGTGTGCATGTGAAGTCTGATGGCCACTGTTGCTGCTGATCTCCGATTCCAGGTGCACGGGTGCTGCCGCACCAACAGTGGAGCACCCGTAGAGAAACACATCTTGAGGAACCTCGGTTACTGACAGGGTGAGTAACCATCTCTTTTCTAAAAGCTCTGCTCTTGGGATTAAATTTGGGAAGTTCTACGGCCTGTGTTATACCAGAGGTCAGACTAGACGATCCTAATCAGAGGCGATGTGTGTGGGGGGGCATGCAGGGTCATGTGCCCCTCGATTGGCCTGCTGGAGGTGGGAAGGAGAGGAGGTCTGTTCTTCTCTCCCTGCACCTCTCCCTCCTCACGTTCAGCCGCTCTCCCTGGCAGCCGGGCAGGGAGCAGGATGGAGCCATTTCTGCCTGAGAGAGCCTGGCTGGGAGGCAGCGGCGGCCCGCACCCTGCCAGGGCTCTGCTGCTGGGGACAGGGGTTGAGCGAGCCGGAGCCCCCTGTCACCCACCTGGCATGCTCAGCCCCTGTCCCTGGCAACCGAGGGCAGGGGGGGGGGGGCAGTTACATGTCCAGTATGGGGAGGCACCAGTCATCTATGCTCCTAATGGTCCGTTCTGGCCTTAGAATCTATGATTCAAGAATAAGCTGCAATGTTGCAGCTCCAGTTTACACCAGTTCAGTGTGTATACACTTGGAGTTTGCACCAGCATAGATGCTTTGGTATAGCTATGCCAGTACAAATATCTGCAGTCTGTCCTGCAGAAAGAGCTTCTTCTTGGGTAGCCATTCCCAGCACTAGTTGACATTTTTCAAACCCTAAAGTAATTTTCTCTAAAAATGGCTTTTTTTCTTAACTGGATTTTTTTTTGGGGGGTGGAAAATTGTCAACCTTATAAAAATGTTCTTTTCTCATGATATTTGTTTTCTCAAAATGGTGAGTGAAAACCACTATCAGAATGGTTTTCAAAATTCTTTCATTTGTCATAGCCCTAGTTTCAATCACCATTTTAATAAACATTTTGATGAAAATGATTGCAAAAAATTCATGACAAAATAGGCCCATTTTTCACCCTGTGAGATGAGAACAGCTTCAACATTTTTCTTTGCCAGAGGACGTTGTGAAGGTCAAGACTATAATAGGGTTCAAAAAAGAACTAGATAAATTCATGGAGGATAGGTCCATCAATGCTATTAGCCAGGATCAGCAGGGATGGTGTCCCTAGCCTATTTGCCAGAAGCTGGGAATGAGCGACAGGATGGATCACCTGATAATTACCTGTTCTGTTCATTCCCTCTGGGGCACCTGGCACTGGCTACTGTCGGAAGACAGGATACTGGGCTAGATGGACCATTGGTCTGACCCAGTATAGCCATTTTATGTTCTTCTGTTTTCCTGAGAGGGAGAAATCACATTTTGACCATCTCTATTCACAGTTAATAAAGGTAAAAATCCTTGATTAGGCTTGTACAATTCAAGGGTGACATATTTGTTAGATCTAATATTGATGACTTGATATCTGAGAGTCAAAAAATTTCATTAGATAATATTCTCTCTTTGCTATTTCTAGGTGCTGATACTGCTTTCAAAATGGTGGCAGGGAGGTAAGTGACAGCTCTTTGATAGCAGGAATAGAGTGAATTTTTTCACTTGCCCCAGGCAGCTGCTTATGAAAGAATGATGGAAGGAATGCAAATGAAGACACCCTTTACCATACTTGGAAATGTTTGATTAATCACATGGACTGTGGGTGAAGCACTGTTAATAAATCATGTAGTGTTACTAAATATAAAAAGGGATGGCTACTGAATAACTCAGCACATGTGTAGCAGTTACATTGCTACTTCCCTAGGTAATATTTTACTTTTCTCTTTGCGTTCATGCTGTATTATATTGTGGAGTAAAAGTTCTCTTCTCGTTGGAAAATAATGGCCCATCTGACAAAAAATGTAAATTTGATATAAATCTTTTGAATAATCTTCAGTTCCCATCCACTCCCCACTTTCTGTAACCTATGATGCTACAAGGGGACATTGATAAGTATGTTTATCCAAACTATGTTCTTTGAAGTGAATTTGGTGCTTGTGAAAAGGATGAGAGCCATAGAACTGGGGACTAAAGCTCTCAGCTTACCAGTGAAACAGGTATGCCAGAAGGAGGGGCAGTGCAATTATCCCCTCAGGTGGGTCTGCCAATGGGTTGCCAATAGTCCCTTATTTTTTTCATTTCTGTACAGCAAGATCAGGAGTTGCTGAGTGCTGCAAAAAGCATCAGGAAATACCCCTGGAAGATGTAGGTGAGTAATGCTTATTATTATTATTTATTGATAATAATGATAATAATAATACTGGGAGGAGAAGTGGGGTAGGGATGCTAAGAAAATAGTCACTTATTTTTGAAATACAGTGTTGGCAACCCTATGTGACCTGGTGCAATCTTTGTTAGAAATGTGTGATTCAGTCCTTGATTCAACAAAGCGCATAAATACATGTGCAGTCCTTTGGCACAGCACATGCTTAAGTACTTCGCAGGATCAGGACTTAGGTTTCCATGATCATTCAAGAGGAAATCCAGCCCGCTCCTCCACAGGTATGGATGCCACCTGGGCCTCAGAACTGGTGCAGTTCTACTGTGCAAAACAGGAGGCTGTATTTGGGGATGTATCACATGAGCTGACCCCTCTCCCTCTTTGGTTTCCCCTTTCCCCTCCTGTAGTCTGAGGTCAGTCTTCCATGTATAGCACAGAACAGTCACCATCCATTCACAGGCTGTTACTTTTCCACTTCCAACTAACCTTATTGAACTGTTTACATTGACAATGTTTAGTGTTGGCTTCTCTTATCTCATTGAACTTTGCTAGCTATGGGTAAATTTTCAGAGATTAGCTCCCTTGGCCCCACAGTGTCTGGGCATGGAAAAATTACTGGCACCAGCATGCATCTTTATTAAAGCCACTCCTCCGTCTCCCCCCAAATTAAAATAATTGGAAAACAAACCAACCCAAACCCCAGAAAATATTCAAAGTGTCAAAAATGATAAACAATTAACTGACGGTAAAATTCAGTTTGCATTTTCTAGTTCAGAAAGGGCACTGGACCAAAGCTCCACTGTTTTGCCTGATTAAGCAGCTGATATCAGTGTTGTTACCTTTGATACAGTCTATTTGATCAGCCAAAATAGTCCAGGTTTGATTTGGGTTATGTTTGTTGGTTTGGAGGACTAGATGACTCGGGATCAGAAATGAGATACAAAATTAACCACCTCTAAGTCATAAACATCAATGTTGTCCAGGTAGGAAATGACTGGCAGTTTCTGTTACCTGCTGGCTCAGGGGCCTATCTGAAAAGAGCTGATGGTCTCAGTCCAGTTCCTACTGGACAGGTGTGCCTGTCGCAGTATAACCTACCAGCATTGCACCTGAGCTGACCCTTTACGCAGAACGGCAAAGGAATGGAGGATGGGTAACCAATTCCCTAGAGTTCTAGAGATGGATCCTCTACAATATGCTTTTGCAGTAAGAAGACATCCCCCCACTAAAACCTCCACTGACTGCTCATTTAAAATTCCTATGGTATGACTTGGGTTGCTTCCCATAGGGAATTCCTTTGATGGACATGCACAATTGGTCCCGCAGAAGCTGCTCCGGTTAGGTTGCCTGTGGTCAAACATTGTGTAATGGATCTCTTAGCTTGCTAGCCTAAATTCAGGCATAAATTTTACATATGGAAATGTCAATGCACCAGTCTCTCTGGATAGACCAGTCATACGGGATGTTATTTGGGAAGCAGAGAACAGACAAAACAGGCATCTTTGGTGGAGATGTTGAGTGTACTTAGCTGAAGGCCAACAGGGAATGAGATCACAGCACAGTTTGCATTGTGGTCCTAGTCTAGGTGAAAAGGTGTTCTAATTGAAATGCCTTAAGCTTCAATGCACTTGCAATGCCCTGTGCTTATATATGATAGGACATTTTACAAGCACTAGTTACAAGCTTGTTGCAACCCTTGTGCTAAGGAGCCAAATTTATCTCTAATGTAACTCAACTGACTTTTGATGAATTATGCTTGGGATGAGGTTGACCCAAGTTCCTTAGCTCAGATCCACCCAAACCAATGCAAATTTAATCTGTTTCTCCCCAACGTGGTCTGGAATCTGCAAGTGTTCTAGCTGCATCCACTGATCCTCTAAACCCCATCCCGTGATCTGCAGATTCATAGATTATAAATCCAGAAGAGACCACTGTAATCATCTAGTTTGACCTGCATAATACAGGCCATAGAACTTCTCTGAATTAATCCCTGTTTGAGTTGGAGCATAATTTTTAGAAAAGCATCCAATCTTGATTTTAAAATTACCAGTGATGGAGAATCTACCACACCCCTTGGTAAACTGTTCCGATAGTTAATTAGCCTCACCGTTAAAAATTGTGCTTTATTTCCTGTCTGAATTACGTTTAGCTTCAGCTTCCAGGCATTGGATCTTGTTATGCCTTGCTTTGTCTGCTAGACTGAAGAGGCCACTATAGGTACTTATGGTCTGGGATCGAGTCACCCCTTAGATTTCACTTTGTTAAGCTAAATATATTGAGCTCCTTGAGTCTATCACTATAAGGCAGGTTTTACGATTCTTTAATTATCTTAGTTCTTCTCTAAACCCTCTCCAGTTTATCAACAGCCTTCTTGCATTGTGGACACCAGAACTGGATGCAGTGATGTAGTGCTGTGTGTGTGCACGCGTGTGTATGACCAACATTCAACAAGTCGTCCTGCAGATTTGGTTCCCTGCTCCCCAACAGGATGGGCTGGTTTGTGGGTGGGAGGGTGGCAGCTCAGGAACTGCTTCCATGGAGCTCAGGAACTGTGGAGCTCAGGAACTGCTTCCATGGAGAGTCCTCCGTCCCATTCCTTCTCCCCTAGAGCTCCCACGTGAGAGGTCACCTCCTGTAGCTCCAGAGTGCTCCCCCTTTCCGAAGCTGAGCTCCCTGTGTTTATGAGCACCACTCAGCCATGGCCAATCCCTTCATATATAACTGTATCCACCTCTGTTTTTAAGAGTTGGCAAGGATGAGTTAAGCGCTGTGCAAGGCTGAAGACCCAGGGTCGTAAGGAGGAAGGTCAGGATGAATGGCAAGGGAAGAGGGGGTGACATGCTTTGCCCTGGATTGGGAAGGGAGTCTACTTTGAAATAGTGCTTGTGGGGGACTCTCCCAAAATCTCCACTCCTCTGTGTGTGTGTGGATGTACCTGGGCGAGTTATGGAAGAGACCATCTCCTGCGGTTAATTCATACAACAGGGATGATGTGGCAGCTCCATGTTCAACATCATCATTGTTTTATAAGGCCGGTCACCTAGAGATTTGCAGGGTAAAAGGCACTGGAATAGAGGTTTCAGGTCAATGTTCTGGTTCACCTCTTCATGGGATTATTTATTCACAATATTCTTGGAACCAATTCAATCTTTGTCTCTCCCTGCACATGCATAGTTCATCAAATTTCCCCAGAGTACATAACCTCTGGAGGAAGGTGGAGTTAGCAGGGTTAGCCTTAATATATTACGAACTATATAATTTCCAAAGGACTGAAGCTGGCTTGTGCACGGAAAGGCTGAATTTTCCTCCTTGCCTCCTCTACAATCCCGACATTTGATCAGGCAGTCAAAGCAGCAGACTTTGTGCAGATGGATTTCATTGCTGGAGCCATTGGAGGTAAATAAAGAAATAAAATGGTGTATGATGAAAGCTGTTTTTCCTGTTAATTTAAAGGCAGCTCCTAATGCCACAAATGGCAATGCTATAGTTGAGGGTCTTTCAGTGATTTATTGAGAAATCTCTTAAAAACTTAAGAATAAAAACTTATTCTGTTAATTTAAAGAACCAGCAAACTTACAGAGCTGTTAAATGAATATAGGTAAACATATGGTTAGCTAAAGTTATTGCTCTGCAACGCCCAGTCTAATTCCAAAAGTATTAAGCAAAACAACATGAAAACCCAGACGTGGAAGCAGGAGACAAGAAGATGGAACAAACTGAATGCAGATACTGGCAGACACTGCTGGTGTGGTACAGCCTCAGTTATCTGATATCCTAGGAGTACAGCTAGGCAGTAAGAGTAGGAAGAACTGAGGTCATTTTCAGTATAATTAATAGTGCGGAGAACTGACTGTTTCAATTAACAACAATTATCCAAGGAGGTTTGGATTAGTGACATTTGGATAACTTTAAGTTGATCTTTATTTGCAGTTTCAGGGGTTATTACAACGCAGACTTGTTGCATAGCAGAAGTTGATCTGGGAGCAAATTGTTTACCAATTTTTTTAAAAGGCACCACTTAGTTTTAGATTTTTTCAGAGTGCTTGTACATATGAAAGCTTGCTTTGTTTTAAACAATGAAATTCGGCAAGTGATCAGCAAAGAGTGTGGTCTAATTACCTGGGAGATTTTGAAAGAGAAAAGCGCTAAATGGCTAAGATTGATCAGAACTGGAGAAATGTAGTGTCATCTTTGCTAGCGAGGGTCAGACAAATTTGGCATATGGCTGAGACATATGCTACCAACAATTCCAACCAGGCTTCCAGATCCTCTGAACTTTGGCAGCCCTTTGCTGGTCAGTTCAGGAGAGGCTCATTGCCCATGTAGAGTTTTAAGTAGGAGAACATACTTAAGGTCTGCCTCTATGTGATAATTGGGAGGTACAGTGAGCCCTGGGTGGGATCCGGAATTACTGCAGGAGCAGGAGAGATGGATTCAGTCCCTTCATTGTGGTTCCCTTCCCTTCTCTGTACTCAGTCACCTCAGATTGTGTCTTATGGTTTGGGGAGCCTGGGCATTGGTTGACAATGACGAGTTGGGGCAAGGCTGTGAAAGAGATTCTTTAAGCTTTGGTTCTGACTGCCACATTGGGCAGCAGCTGTGCAGTAAGTGTATCTGTGGGAATGGGAATGGAAGGCACTCAGTACTTGTTGGATCCTGCCCTACGCAGATGCATTGCAGGAGTGGGCCATCCCTCTGGGGTTGTAATCAGAAATACTTTTGGTTATTTTAAATGCACCACATTGCTATGCATACAGAATCCTCCTAGCTGCTACCTAAGGCAAACTCGCTGCTTTTCTATGATGTGCAATGCCTATAGAAAGCAAGCTCCTCTGAGATATTTTGTCCAGTACCCTAGAGAGTTTGAATGTAAGTCAGTGGGAATTTTGTCTGTGCAAGGACGTCAGGGATTGGCCCAATGCCCATCATTACCAGTCTGATGCGGATAATGCCATTATCTCTTTGAAGG